CTGTCCTGCTCCCCCGGGTGAAGCAGTGCAGACCGGGCCCTGCAGCCCCCAGGCGGTGGCCAGCGCGGTGCGGGCCCTCAGGCGGCTGATGGGCAGCCGCCTGCCGGCCGGCCGATGATGCGGGGCGCAGAGGAAGGAGCTCCGGGCTTCGGGCTTCGGCTGGGAGGCAGCCAAGTGGAGGGGGCGGCGCTGGCGGGCCACGCCCCCCTCTCAGGAGCTCGCTGCCCTGCGCGACCCGCTCGGGGAGTCGGCGCGGGCCTGGCCTCTGGGTCCCCACGCGGCAGAGAGGCAGCGAGCTGAGCGTGTCCCTGCGCAGAGGAGCGCTGAGGTGGCGGGGCCTCCCTGGTGGCACCGTGGGTCTCAGGCCGGAGTCTTTCCTGGCCAGGAGGGACCCCAGGGCGCAGCAGCCCCTCCTGTCTCCCCGCGGCCCCCCCAGCAGTGGGCTTCAGTGGGTCCGCCTGTCCCGCGCCCCACCTGTGTCTGGTGGGTCCTCTCTCACACCCCTCTCTGGCCCGCACCCCAGCTCCTGTGTGCATGAATAAATCTCTGAAAAAGGAGAAAGCGAGCAGGGGACTGGCGGCGCGTGGCCGAGAGGCCGCCGGGGCTAGTCGCAGAGCCCTGGCGACGCCGGCGATTCGCTTTAGCCTGTGGGCGGTGGGGCCGGGACAGCTTGCCCTAGGTTACGGTTTGCTTTCCGCTGGCCGGCTCGGGGGCGCTGGGAGAAACCGAGGCAGGCGGTGGGGGTGACTGCAGGCGCACTGCAGGAGGCGGCGGCCCCGAGACCGCAAAGGGGTTCGGGTCCAGTATCTGGGAGCAGTCAGGGCGGGATTTTCTGTTTGCCCTTGCGATCACTGCCCCCGGGAAGGGTGAAGGAAGGAAGCCATGGTCTGCTCCGGCCTGCCCCGGGGGTCCGGCGGGTCCGGCGGAGCCCAGGCCACCTTCCAGGGCTGCCTGGCCTCTGAGCCTCCGGGGCAGTTGGGGCGGGGTGAAGGTGTCCGCGGAGGCGCCTCGCCGGTGGGTCTGCAGCGCCGCCGCGCCGCCGCGAGGGGGCGCCCGGAGGCCGCTTTTCCTTGCAGAGCCGCAGACCTGTTCTTGCAAACCGAGCTAGTTTGCTTCCTTTAGGCCCGGGAGCCAACTTTTTTTTTTCTTTAAGATTTGCTTACTTGTGCTTAGAGAACTGGGGTGCAGGCCAGCGGTGCAGGGCCGGTGAGAGGCTTCACTGGAGACAGTGGGAGCAGGACAGGCAGGTTGCGGAAGTCCACTGCTGAGGGGAGCAGCGGGCCGGTCAGGAGGGGTCTGCTGCGGGTCACGCCCCGGCCGGCGGGGGACCGAGCTCATGCTGCAGTGGCTTTGGAGAGCTTCCTCATGTGGTGCTTTACCCCGCTGCGCCACCGGGAAGGGCCCGAGAACTTTTTTAATGGAAAAAAGAACATTTAGCAAGGGCTCTGTGCTCACACGAGGACTCTGCGGGAAAGGGCTGCTTTCCTGACATTCTCAGGGGACCTTAGCCGGACCTGACGGCTGCTGTGTCGCCTTGACGTGTCTCGAGGGCCACACGGCTCCCCACGGCGCTCTGCAAAGTCTGGGAGCAGAGTGTGCACCTCAGGGCCCTGGCTGCTTATGCCTCTGGCCTTCAGCGTGGCCTTAGCAGTGAGTGGGGCGCTCGCCTGCACTCCCTGCACCTGAGGCGCTGACTCCCGCAGCCGCAGACTGCTGACCTGGCCAGAGCGCACTCCTCCCTGCGCTCCTCCCTGCGCTCCTCCCTGCGCTGGGCTGCGGGCACAGGAGCCACCACGCCCGGGCCTCTCCTTCGTGCCCAGCCCCGCCCTGAGGCATCGCTGGCGCACCCCAGCGCTCCCCTCTTCCCCGTCTCCAGTCCTGCGCGGAGCTGTTCCTCGGCTTCGCGGCTGCCCCTCGCCATTTCCCTGCCTTGTTTTCCGGGGCGCGGGAGTGCCCGGTGGCCAGCCAGGCACGCGCCGCCTCCCTGGAGCGGCTTTGCCATTCACGCTCAGGCGGCATCGGCGTCGTGAGCGCCTGAGAGCGGGGGCGTGGCCTGAGAGCAGGGGCGTGGCCTGAGAGTGGGGGCGTGGGCTGAGAGTGGGGGCGTGGCCTGAGTGGGGGCGTGGCCCGCCAGCCGCCTCCCACTTGGCTGCCTCCCACCGGAGCCCAGGAGCGACTGTCCGTGAGCAGAGCGAGTCTCTGCCCACTGGCCGGCGGCATCCTCAGTGGTTGGTGTGTGACGTCCGCTTCCTGGGAGGACGCACGCGCTCGCTCAAGGCACTTTTTGGACATCTTTCTTTTTTTTTCTCTTGAAACAGATGCTGACATCAAAGTTCTCGAAGACCAGTTTGACGCGCTCATAGTCGATTTAACCACAAAACGCAAGCAGTATCCCAGAAAGATCCTGGAATGTGTCATCAGAACCATAAAAGCAAAACAAGAAATCCTGGTAAGAATCTGCCGTTGCCTTAGGAAACGTTCTCTCTCCCGCCACGGTCAGACGCCACGCGTGAGCCCTGCGGAGCACAGGGCCTTTGCTGAGCCCCCGCCCACCTGCCCGACCTCCTGTGTGAAAACACCAGGCTTTGCGCGTGAGCGGCAGTCAGACAGGCGGGCAGCCGCCAGAGCTGAGGCTCGGAGGGAGAGGAAGTTCATCGCCTGCCTTCCCTCGCGGGGGTTCGCTCTGGCCCGGGGTGGTGGTGTGGACGCATCCTGGAGGGGCCGCTGGTTAAACTGCGGTGGACAGTGAGTGACGCCGGCTCCTCGCCCGGAATTGGCCGTCCGAACTGCGTCATTTGATTTGCTCCCAAAGTCGCGGCGGGCCAGGAGCTGGCTTGCGGGACTGGCCCGGCCTGGGCGGGGACGCAGGCCCGAGGGCAGACGTCCTTCGTCCTTAACGCCTGCCGCCCGCGTCACCCGCGTGTCGGCCTCCCGGCGGCCGACCTGTCTGGGCCAGCAGGAGGGATACTAGCCCTTGTAGACGGCGCTGTCAGCGTCATCCCGCCAGAAGAAAGTCCTGCGCGCGGGACTGTGCCTTGTTTCCTCCCCATGGACGTTAGTGCTCCCACGAGACACTGCCCTAGAGCCCACCCCCCACCCCCCAGGCTCCTGGTCTCCCCTGCGCTCCAGTTCGCCCCCCGCAGGTGGCCCTGGCCATAGCCCTGCTGAGAGGGCAGCCGGGCGACCGGTCAGCCCGGGCGGCCCTTAGGAAGCTCCGGCCAGCAGCGAAGGCCTCCTCCTCCTCGGGTTTGGCCCGGCTCCCGCGGCCTGCTGCCGGCGCTTCCCTGGCCTCCCGACCACGAATTAGCCAGCCGAGCCTGAGGCCCCAGGCGGCGTTGAAAGTGGCGGGTGGGCTGTGGGAGCCGGCGCTGGTCCGACCGAGCACGGTTCTCAGCGCTCGGAGGCCGCCGGTACAGGCCCGGCCCGCTGTGGCCAGGGCGCTCCTGCCCCTTAAACCTGTGGCTGGGGGCGGCTTCTCCACGGGCCGGCAGGGGGCGCCCGCGAGGGGTGCGCGCAGCCGCCTGAGCTGGCGCCGGGGTTCTCGCAGCTGCTGGCGCTGACTGCGGGAACTGTTTGAGGGACACGAAGGCGGCCGCGTTAAATCCGCTTTTACTTGCCTTGTTTAGAAGCAGTTCCGCCCCGTCGTCCGTCCGCTGGACCTGACGCGCGGCCCCGACCCAGGTGAGTGTGTGCGTCGTGGTGGTCAAGTGGAGCCTTGCCTGGCGTCCTGGCAGCTCCCGCTGCGCCGACGGTGCTGACAGCCTGCCTGGGGGTGTCTCTGGACTCCGCCTTTCACCGCCTGGGCCGAGGGTTGTGTCTGTCCCACCGCTGCAGTTTTATAAGAAATCTTGACGCCGGTGCTTTTTAAACAGGTGTCTTTACCTGTGCACAGGGGAGGACCGGCGGGCCTGCCGCCCTGCGGGCCCCTCCGGGCCGGGATCCAACACGAGCGGCCGCGGCCAGTCCCCACTGCGCTCTGACGCCCCGCACACGGAGGCCCGGTTTCCAGTCATTTCTTGATAACGTTGTCTTGCTGGTCCTTGACGGCTTACTCTTGCACGGGAAGCGTTTGCACCAATTTATTAAATTACAGGAAAGGTCTTGCAGGGATTTGATGGAGACTGCGTTTTCGATAACCTGGAGCCGAGCGCCGGGCGACTGTGCGGCGGGTTCCCAGTTACGAGCTTGCGGCTCGCTTGGGCCCTCGAGAGCAGGTCCCTCCACCGGCCTCGCCCGGGCCTGGCCCGGCCCCTGCGTTGCAGCTGGGTGGCGTCACCGCCGGGCGCGGCTGTACGTCACCCCGTTCCCCGTTCCCTTGGCGTTAGCTCCCATTGGATTTGCAAAGCGGAGGTGACCCCGTCACCTCCAAGCGAGGACGGTCTGTCTTCCGATCTCACTGCACGCCGATTCCGGCTCACTCCAGCCTTTGGAATTCCCGTGCGGCGCGGCGAGCGGCTGGGTGACGTTGACTCGCCAGAGCCCAACTCCCGCGTCAGACTCCTGGTCGGCCGGAACCTCCGGTTTGCGCGACTGCAGGGCCCGACTTGCACGGGCGAACTGTGCCCACGATGTGCGTGCGCGCGGGGCGGCCCCACAGTCCCGGCGGGGAGCAGGACAGGCAGATGGACAGTCCACGGCTGAGGGTAGCGGCGGCGAGACAGGAGGGCCTGCCGCGCCCTGGGGGGTCGAACTCGCGCCGAGGTGGCTGCTGCTGCAGCCTGTGCTCTAACCCGCTGCGCCCCGGGGGGGGGGGGCGGATCTGATTATTCTCTACTTTTGCTTGTGCACTTTCTCTTCTCTCTAGTGCGAGGCCTCTTTGCTCTTACTGGCCTTCAGAGTCGGCTTCTGCTTTTGCTGACTTTCTCTGTTTTTTTTTGGTTCCTTGAGTTCTGATCTTATCTTTATTGTGGTCTTCCTGCTTTCGTGACTTCTGTTAGTTTTAGCTTTTGAGTTGGACCCATAATTAGCGCACCTCAGCTTGCTTCTGCATGAGGCCAGGCCGATTCTCCGCCCTCTGGAGGTCAGCATGCGCAGCTCTGATAGTTCAGCTCAAGTACTATGTCGTTTCCAAGTCATTTTCTTTACCTGTCTGGGCTTCTGTAATGTTGATGGGATTGTCTTTATTCTGCAATTTTTATTTTTGGGGTTGGAAGCAGGTGCCACGTTTCTCGTCTGTCACCTGCAGTCTGTGGCTGTCAGATAAGCCCGGGGTCCCGAGCAAGACGGGCGCCCCGGGCAGGCCCCTCGCTGCCCCCAGCCCGCCTGCTCTCTGTGCCTGCCTGTTCCGGCTGCCTTTTGGGGGGATTGATGTATTTATGCATATGAGAGCTGGGTTGCAGGCCAGACGTGGGGGGATGAGAGGATTCCCCAGTGAAAACGTGGGGAGCAGAACAGGCGGATCGCCTGAAGCCCACTGCTGAGGGGAGCAGCGGGCAGACAGGAGGGGTCTGCTGCGCCCTGGCCGGCGTTCGAACTCGCGCTGCAGCGGCTGCCGACGGCTTCCGAGTGCTGAGACTCAACCTCTTGTGCCACCAGGCAGCACCAGAAGTTGATTTTTTATTAAAAGCATACTTTCATAGTATTTTTTTTGTACTCAATACTTAACTGACTCAACAGAGTTTTCCGAATTCTATAGAATTTGGGAAACCTGTTGTTATTCAACATGAGACCTTCCTTCTCAGTTCATTTTTCTTCTTAACAAGTGCTTCCCTAGGTGTTTGGGAAAAAGTCGATGGGTGATAGACTCTTGGTTTTCCCCTTTCCCTTGAAATCTGCTCATTTACTTTCATTTTTTTAAAATATAATAGCTTATTTTTAGTCATTTTGTACATTTTTTTTCTCAATTGTAATTCCCGTGGGCTTCCCATCACTGAGTCACCCTGTGCCATCACCATAGTCCCGTGCACTTCCCTCCCCCCCGACCCCCCATTTTTCACCCCATTCCCCACTCCACCCCCGCAAAATGTCTCTGGTATATGGCTGTTCATCATTATCATTATTTTCTCGCCTGGTCTGTTATGCTCCTGCTATGAGTGACACCATCTGGTATTTTCCCTTTTCTTTCTGGCTCATCTCACTCAGCACGATCCCTTCTAGCTCCGTCCATGTTGCTGCGAAAGGCCCAAGTTTATCTTTTTGACGGCCGAGTAATATTCCGCCGTGTGTGTGTACACATCTTTTTCATCCGGTCATCCCCTTCTGGGCATGAGGGCTGCTTCCGTGGCTTTCCGATTGTGCATAAAGCAGCTCACTTACTTTCACCTCGGGGAGTGTATGCCACCATCCCTCCGCCGTCCGTTCCTAAGCCCCGCGCGAAGCTGCCCTCGGCGGCCCCTCTCCCCACCCTCGGCCCCCCCCCTCGGCGTGTCCCCCCCCTTTCATGTGTGGTCGCGGCGCCTCTCAGAAGTTCCCAGACAGCGCGGTCATAGCAGAGCAGTTTTTTCTCATGAAACGATTTCGGGCTGAGGTTATGCTGGTTTAGAACTCAGTGAGGGGCTGCAGATCCCCCTTCTTCAAATGTGCGTGACCACACCGCGCCCACACCTTGTCCCGCAGGCTGGGCAGTTGGCAGGCATTTCATTGCCCAGAGGGCGGCCGCCCCGACGGCCCCTGGCCCGCCCTCTGCTCCTCTGCTTTCTGTGCGTCCCAGGCGCTGGCTGCCCCGCAGCGCCCCTCGAGGGCCCCCGCGGCTGTGGCTTCGGCCTGCGGCGTCGGCCTGAGCTTCCGCACAGGTCTGCGGGGCGTGTGGGGCCCCAGACTTCGGGGTGCCCTCCGGGGACACTCCCAGCCTTTCTGCGCCCAGGGCCCGTCCCCAGGTCCCGAGAAGGCCTCGTGTTCACCCGAGCCCTCTCCTGTGCGTCTGGAGTTGCCTTTCTCCCCCAGACGCCGTGTCCGAGGCCCCCCCACCGCACGGTGAGAGCGCTGCCCCGGGCTCCCCCAGGCTGTGCGTTTGGTCTCTGCTGGCGCCCAGCCCGCGTGTGGGGCTCCCCGTGCGCCTGGCAGCCCAGCCGTGGTTCGTGCACTCGGGTGGCCCCCAGGGAGGGGGCTGTGAGGTTGACCTCTGGGAGAGGACTGGTGCAGGTGCAGGTGCGCAGCGGGGACCCACGCCGGCCCAGGCGCAGTGCCGGGGAGGGGCTCCCCTCAGAGAGGCTTCCCTCCTGGGCGGGGGGCTGGAGCGGGTGGGGCTGGAGCCCTTGGGGAGCCAAGCAGGCCCGGGCGGGTGGCGGAACAGCGGGGCCTGCGGAGGGCAGGCCCCGAGGCCGGGCC